ACTCAGAGAACCAGAGCTCCGGGCAAGGACCCCCACTATGCCACCCCCTCGGGCCCGACTCAGAGAACCAGAACTCTGGGCAGGGACGCCCACTACGCCACCCCCTCACGCCCGATTCAGAGAACCAGAGCTCCGGGCAGGGACCCCCACCACGCCACCCCCTCACGCCCGATTCAGAGAACCAGAACTCCGGGCAGGGACCCCCACCACGCCACCCCCTCACGCCCGATTCAGAAAACCAGCCCTCTGGGCAGGGACCCCCACCGAGGTTTCCCCCTTTGCCCGAGACTCATAAAATCTGATAAAGAAATTCTGATGCTTATAATAAAAATCAATCAGATCTTTAAAACAAAACAGCAGATACTGACATAAAATCATATAAATTGAATTGAAATGATTGAATGCCTTTACTGTCATTTTACTTTACAATACAACTAAATTAGGAATGTCAGTCATAATTCTATATCTGCCAATAATACTGTATGTCTTAGTAAGACGATATTTCAATGTAAAACATATAATGCAGTGCCATAATGATGGAGAGATGAACAAATAAACCTAAGTAAGTGGTTTATCTTGAAATATTATTCTAAAGTTATTCTGGCGTTTCCTTGATAAATCAGAGCAGATTTGACACAGAAAGACACGTGAAGCTCAAGCTAAAGGAGGACGTGTGTGTACAGTTACACTGAAAGACTTTAATAGGGTTTTAAAAAAGCTTTATAGAGTTAAATCTCCTTATTTAACATTCTCCACATTCTCACAACTAAAGTCCATCTCAAACACACATCATGAAGCGTTTGCTGATTGCAAGTGAGCATGTAGCGAAATATACAACTGAGTGTGTGTGTATTACATGGATATTACACTTGCATTACAATGTGAACGTGAATGAGGACATTTCCTGAATCCTCGTATTTCAAATGGCTTTAAAAACACACTGAATAGTGTTATATTAAAAATGTAAAAATGCATAAAGTTTCCTGTAATGGGTAGTTTAGGGGTCAGGTTAGTGTGTGTGTGTGTGTTGGGCAGGTTTGAGCTGAACTGATGATCCACTTCAGGTGGGAAAAGCCTGTGTTTGTCAAAATTGAGATTGGCAAGAGTTCAGAGACACGCCTGTCTAATACACACACTTCCCTCAGCCAGATCATGGAAATATGAATCTCTGGGATAAAGCCGAACCGGCTCTCCTGTCTGACAGGGTGTTGCTCCCGCTCTCATGAAGACCAGCGAAGGAAACAACCGGCAAGATTCATTTCTCAGTTGTGTAACTTCATCACAGGAATACTATATATTCACATTGATTTACAGACGATGAAATATTATTTCACAGTTGTACTGTATTTTTTATCAAATAAGCATTGGTGAACATAAGAGATTTCTTTCAAAAAAGAAGAAGTGAAGTAAAAGTGAAGAAAAAGTAAAAGTGTGTGTGTTGGTGTGTGTGAGCATGGCTTGTTTATCCACACGCTCTCCCTCAGAGGAGTGTTTGGCTCAAGATCCAGCAAGCTTTTTTTCTGCGTGCACTCCATAAATTTCATCTTTCCCATAAAATAACAGAAAAGGTTCTGTCGCTCTTGAATTACAAGGAACCTTTAGGGCTTTTTCCAGCTTGAACATTCCAGATCCGCCCCGCTAGAAGCCACGCGCTAGTCTTTAATCGCTTTAACAGCGAGACTGAATCTCCTCACTCTTCCTGATGAGCTTCACCAATGACGGAGAAGTACAGCTCCAGTAACCAGTATTAATCATGTGTTGAAACGTCATTTGGGTCTCAGTCCATTGAATTATAGTACATTAGTTTCCCTTTTAAGTACGCTTTTCCTAAAATAGAAAATAAGCATTTCCAAGCTGGTTTGAGGATAATATGAAAGGCTGTCATTGAGTTTGTCAGACCAACACTTTGAGTGTTAAAATAGCGTTTTTACAGCACGCGCTACGCTTACATTTCACCTCAAACTGACAGGAGACCCGTCACCAAAATAAACAGGCTGATATTTAGCGGAGGTTCAGTGTGTTATCCCACAGCAAAGCCAACTTCTCCTCTCCATAAACAAGCACTGGCTGGAAGAGGAAATCAGGACATTACAATAACACACTCAAACACAGGCATTATGGGAGGAATACAGTTTCTTATAAAGGTCAAGGGTCAGAGCCGCCTGTGTGTGTGTGTGTATTCGCAGGGTTTTTTACTTGCTATTTGCTAATGTTCATTTTTTTTATATTTCTAAACTAAAAACCACATTGTTGTGTCTTACTTTCTACTTTACTTGACGATAACAGATAACGATAAATATACACTCTTAGAAGAAAAGGTTCTATATAGAACCTTTCTATCAGCGCTACGTATTTGGAACCCCTTAAAGGTTCTATACACTCTTAAAAAATGGTTCCTCTGGGTTCTATATAGAACCCTGGGGTTCCGTTTCTGTACTTGGCCAATAGAACCTATTACCAAAAAAATTGGTTCTTATAGAGTTCCATATGTGAAGCGGGGGATGGAACCATTTCTGGTTCTAAATAGAACCATTTCTTCTAAGAGTGTATAGTATTTAAATTTTAAAGAATAGCAGAGTTCACATCTAGAACAATAACGGCACAAAGAAAATATCTCTGGTATCACTTTCAGAACGATTTTATCCAGGTGATAATTGATAAAAACATTGACAGCCAATCAGAATCATGAGCTCCGGCATGTAAAGCATGGGTCAGAATAACCAGAGCGATATCATCCGCTGGCGTGGACGCTAATATGGGCCAGTTATCGTAATATAGGTATAGTTTTTGGTATGAACGGGCCTTTGCAGTTTTCATCTGGCAGTCAATAAATCAGGCAAACAAATCCTGAAACTACAAATAAGTTTGATTTTATTTTTACTACAGAGAATGTTCATTTTTTTGACATTAAAGTTGGCATCAACGGATTAATGCATTAATATTATTTCAATATGCGTTTTATTCGTAAAGGCTGGTCAGAGACATCAGAATGTCTTTTTTTTAGTCTTTTAATTACAAGCCGTTGTTCATATAGTTTATGATTGTGAAAATATAAATTGTCAATCAAAATACCTTTTGTTATATTGTATACTGCGCCATGTAAATATCTCCGCTCAGCTTTTAGTGGGAGAATTGCTTAAATTTATTGACATGTGAGAGTGATAAAGAAGCCGGGATGATTGAAAAAAAAAAAGAAACAGGTTGTGCTTGATACTTTATAAGTGCATTATGAACTTTTTTTGGTCTGTGTGCGCTGTCAGCATGCGAATACCGAGATTTTGTGGCGTTTAAATAGAAAATACAAACAAAATGGTACAGAAATACCCATCTTGCCGAGAATTCACAGTCAGTTAAGTCTTAAGTGAATGTGAACAGAAAATCAGATGTCTATCAGTATATTAGATCTGTGCATTCGCTCTTAAAGTGACAGCAGCCTAATAAACGTGTGATTGATTAACAGAGAGGGCATCTCTCACTGCTCTGGCTGAATAACTTCTGCAGCTTTAAAACGACTCAATGCATGTTTAATTCATAAAGTAAACAGAAGTTTACTGTTCTACGCTTTTATTTCCTTTACTCCAGTAATGGCTATCATTGTCTTTTTTAGGAAACAGTGAAAAGATGATTGTGTAAAGGGCTACACCTTATAAAAATAGAAATTATCTGATCATCTACTCTAAAAATCACAAAACAATGCCCTGGCAACAACCCAGAAAACCCTAGCAACCACATAATAATAGACTCAGAAAACTTTATAAACTGCATAGCAACACCCTGACAACCACCTTATAATGATGGCAGTGAGTTCTGCAGAGGAACATGTAAAGTCCAGAGCATATCTGTACGCTTCCCCCCGGCTGCTTTACGAACTGCTGTCACCAGGAAGATTAAGTGTGTGATGCGTGTTTTGTTCCATTGGGAAAGCAAGACGACTGGGAGAGACTTCCTGATCAATACACAATTACAGAGAGCCGCAGAGGACAGCACACACACACACACACACACGCAGAGACGTGTGCTCAGGCCTCAGGCTCAATTCACGCTTATCAGCTGACATATACACCAGGAAGACAGGTCACATCAATACACACACACTGGCCAGACAAAGATCAGTGAGTCGAAACTAACCAGTCACACTCTGTCACTTCCTGTATCCCGAAACAACACGGACTACACACTCCTAGCAAATCCCACAGAACACACACTGTGTCTACACTGGAGAGAAGAGTGTCATACACACCGAGGAGGACTTCATGGAGAGTAAATCATGGGCTGATTTCCATTTTTGGGTGAACTGTCCCTTTAACACTGGAGAGAGTAAGAGCTGTGTGTGTGTGCTGTACGGACCCGTACCCTGAGCTTCAGATCGGAGACTGAGATAGACCCTATATGGTGAAGACCTGCGGATGAATAACTAAGCAGATGTCTAAATTTCCCAGCATGCACTAGGGCACTGGTGCAGGTCAGCTGCTCACGGGTCGTTTCATCAATTGCAGCAGCCGTTCTTCCTGAGGGAGAGAGAGAGAGAGAGAGACACTGCGTGACCCTGTGTTTTGGCTGCCGGCCCGTCAGGCACGCTCTCAGCGCTCTCGGCTCCCCTCAGAGAAACACACAGCACAACAAAACTTCCCCGGCTCAGCCAGAGACGGAGTGTGTGAGAACGAGAGCAGCCGGGGGCTCTGACGGGACAGGACTGTGGCTCTTATATACGACGGCATTGAGGAACACTGCAGATGCACATCTTATGGATTTAACTTGGAAAAGCTTGCGCTGACCTCAAGAGAACTGAACACACACACACACACACACACACACAACCTGTCGGGATGGTCTGCTTACATGACCAAGCCCTCGGAGAGAGCACACAGTCACGTCTGCAAATGTTTGATGAAGCACAGCAGACTAAAACTGGCTCAGCAATCTCATAAGATTATACACACACACCTTAAATGGGTCACTTCAAGAAAACACACATTTCTTTTTATCTTCAGATCTTATGAAATAATAATAATACTATTACAGAACTAAAACCTTACGCCTGTCCAAAAACATTTGGTGAAAACAAAAACCTTGACAGATAAACAGACAGATACAGACAGACAAACACAGACAGATACAGACAGACAAACACAGACAGATACAGACAGATACAGACAGACAGACAGATACAGACAGACAGACAGACGTACAGACAGATACAGACAGACAGACAGACGGACAGACAGACAAACACAGACAGATACAGACAGACAGACAGACAGACAGACGGATACAGACAGACACGGACAGATACAGACAGACAGACAGACAGACAGACACAGACGGATACAGACAGATAGATGGATACAGACAGACAGATACAGACAGACAGAAAGATACAGACAGACAGACAGACAGACGGATACAGACAGAAAGATACAGACAGACAGACAGACGGATACAGACAGAAAGATACAGACAGACAGACAGACGGATACAGACAGATATAGAGGGAAAGACAGACACACAGATCAGACTGATCTCATGAAGTAGCGTGTGTATGACACGCCAATTCGTATTTCCATTTTTGGCGTGCCATCAAGACGCATAATCGCTTTTCAGCGTGTTTATGAACGCCGTTGACTTAACGTTATATAAATATATGACTTACCTCAACCCCGTCCCTAAACCTAACCGTCACTGGGGTTAATGGCGTAGACATATACGCATACACGCGGATACACACGGATAGCTCAAAATGCGTAGAGATAACACGCCACTTGACTCGAAAGTGGCGTATATGTTTACGCAAAAGTCATGATGTCATGTTGGACAGATAGACAGATAAAGGCAGATACAGACAGACAGATTGACAGATACAGACAGAAAGACAGACGGACAGACAGATAGACGGATACAGACAGACAGATAGATGGATACAGACAGACAGACAGATACAGACAGACAGACAGATACAGACAGACGCGTGAATTTCTCATCCAACGCAGTAACTCGCTGTTTCACTACAACAGATGCATCGTTGAAGAAATCAACTATTGTCACGACTGTTTTCCCGAAACCATATTGCTAACGAAACTTTCGGGAAACACCCCAGATCGACAGCGCTCCAAATCCAGTTAAATCATGTGACGAACATCTCGTGAGAGGTGTGGAGAGACATCAGTCTTCACTCTTCACCAGACAACAGTCTCGCCACAGCGGGGAGCGGAGGACACACTGATGGAGGAAACCCGAGAGATGGACAGTGTGGAAAACCCCAGAAACCACTCATCACACAAAAGATAGTGTATCCAGTCTGTGTGGGGGTTTGCCACTAATTATTAAAGGGACAGTAGAAGACAGGGGATTTCAGGACAGGGAGAGGGTAAGAGATCACAACCGTGTGAGGACCAGTTCAGTGTTCTCCGCCTGATGGATGTGGCACAGTAATGGATGTCGGGGGCGATGGCTTGTACACGCAACAGGACTGAACCTCTCCGAATCTGGAGTGGGAATCAGTGAAAGTTACATTTCAGTGACTAACTTTTTAGCAAAGTCAGTAAATATTGATTTCATGTTGTCCTAAAGTAATAGTCTTAATTTGGTCTTGCTGCTTTAATTTTAATAATAATAATAAAAAGAGTTATTAAGCTGACTGGCTCTGAACACAACTACTTTCACAAGCTTTTGGCTCATCTTCTATCATCAACCTCTATCTCTCCCCTCCTTCTTCTTTTTTTGAGCTCCCATCCCTCAATTCAGTCTCCCAACACCCAGGGAATCAGGATCATCAGATCAATCCCCTCAACACAGTCTGGATCTTCATCCCGAGGGCAGAACATGTGTTTTATGAAACACAACGGGCCTCTGGCTCCACTGACTCTCTCCAGGGAAGATGAGGAATGTTTCTCGCTGGTGTGTGCAATGCTTTGGCCAAGATGAGTCTTTCACTTTCATCCTCCTTTCCTCAAGCGCTGTTAAACAGGGACACGGCAGAAAGAAAACGTGCCGATGCTCTTTGAAAGGTTCACAGCTAGACAACCTTCCACACTCGTGACGTATAATAAGAGAGGACTTCGGCCGGGGACTCTGATTGGACGGGGACACATTCCAGGGATTTTCGGCCTATTTGTTTAGCGTGAGCCTCCTGTCCGGTCCTTAAATATAGACCTCACCCAGAAACACGTACACCTCTGGCAAACACTCGGCAGGATTGTTCCTTTGCTTGTTTTCCAAGTATTTGTAATCCAATTGATTCAAATCACATAGTTTAGAGTTTCCAGACAGAAAACATTACTTTAATATGCAAGACTGTTACCCAATCGTAGCAGCAGGCGTTTATTTCCAAGTCTTAAATGTGACACGCCTATCAAAACGAGAAACAGGGCAGAAAGTAGCTTAAACAAATACGCGTGTGAATCAGAGTTTTTACATCCCAATTTAGTGTTTTTTGATGTAAAAATCTTGATAACATTTTTTAATATACTTTCTTTTAATTATTTACTTTATTTATTCATCATTGTTGTACTTGGGTTTTGTATTTTTAATTAATTATTTCCATACGCATTGCATCGGTTTACATCGAAAGAGTGCTTTACACCTAGGATGGCTTAAGGGGGTAAATTATGTTCTTTTTAGGACCCTTTTTGGGTGAACTATCCCTTTAACTACCATAGATGGCTTTCCATTTCAGCTGAAATCAGGCATGTATGGAGAAAATTATGTTTTTTCAAAAGGGGGGGGGGGGGTCTATGTCTATTTCTATCCACGTTTCAAATGTATTAATGGAAAGAATGTGTCTTGAAAGAATTCTGGGAATGTAAATGAATGGTTAATTATTGAGAGCCGGTTCACACAACACTAATGTACCTTTGTGTTGTGCTGGAAAGAGCCATTCAGAGCATTTCCTAATCAGAGCTCCTCGTAACAGCGTCTGTGCCTGGAGAAACACGCTGTTCTTACCCATTAATCAGAAGGGGAATGTTATGAATTCCAGTCACTCTTATGATGAAACTGATTCAGATGCACTCAGATATAAGACGAGAGTACACACTCCTAACAGTAAAGCTCCTTTATGGCATCGATAGTTCATGAAGATCCTTTAACATCCACAAATGGTTCTAGAGTCTGAACTTGTGTTGTTTGGATATTTAAACTAAGTAACACAATGGTTCTTTCAAGATGCGGGCCGCGTTTACGTCCATTTCCCGCTAACTTCCCTCCGTCTGGTTTACTCGGAGGTACATCACTGATGACGCTGCTCAAACGCCCACTACTGGCGAACCCTTGAAATGTGTTTAAATTCAACGTCTCAAAGCCCTTTATCAGACTTATTATTTACATACATTGGTTTTACATACTATTCTGTCGGCCTGTTTTGGGGCGTTTGCACCGGAGGAACCTTTTCATAGTTCCTGCAACATGACATCATGACTTTTGCGTAAACATACATTACACGCCACTTTCGAGTCAAGTGGCGTGTTATCTCAACGCATTTTGAGCTATCCGTGTGTGTATCCACGTGTATGCGTGTATGTCTACGCCATTAACGTCCGAGTGATTCCGCGTGTCTGTACACGCCGTCAAATGTCCGTGCGAAACGAAGCAAAATGTACATCTACAGTACATCTCGGGAGCGATAATTTTTTTTCCTAGGATGGTGAGGGAACAGTCATAAATGCCATTAACCCCAGTGACGGTTAGGTTTAGGGACGGGGTTGAGGTAAGTCATAAATTTATATATAAAGTAATAACATTAAGTCAACGGCGTTCATAAACACGCTGAACAGCGATTATGCGTCTTGATAGCACGCCAAAAATGGAAATACGAATTGGCGCGTCATACACACGCTACTTCATGAGATCAGTCTGGTTCCTAGAACTATTGGTGGAAGTACTTGTTTTTTGGCGTGTTCGCACCGCTGGAACTGGGAACGATTTTAGTTCTTGAAACTCTTTTGGAGGAACTGATTTACTCCTACTTCGAGGTCGAAGTAATCCAGCGCTATAGGAACTACAGTGACGTTAGTGTTCGCTGATTGGCCGAACGCATGTCAAACACCAGTACCCGCCGTTTTTAATAAAGCAGCGTAAACACACAGATTATAGCCTACATATTTACTCCAGAATCTAACTCTACAAACATGTAAAACAGTGATAGATGGACCTCTTAAAACTCTACGCTGAGGAGAAAATCCAACGCAAAGTAAACACTTTCATCACTGTCTACTATCTAATAATGTATTAAACAGGACTGTTAGACAGATCATAACTAATGAACAGAGAATGTGAGCACTGTGAGCTCAGGCTCTGGCGTTCTCAGCGCTGTCACAATAAAAGTCACAACAACAATCGAGTCTTACGTCACTTCAGAGTTCATACTGGCGGTCCGAACGCAACCAGGAAAATGATCCTAAGAAAGCCATTAGTTCTCAGGGAATCACCCTTCCTATACTGTAAACTATACACAATTATGGACAAACCCAAATGTTGGGGTAAAAATGCAATTAAAACATTTACAGTTGAAAATGAAAGTTGAAGTTGAAATGACATTTTTAACCCAATATTTGGGTTTGTCCATATTTTACCCAAATTTGGGTTCAAACAACCCAGCATTGTTTAGAGTGGAACAGTGTCAAAAAACAAGTATTTTTCAATTAAATGTCAGAATAACCTTAAACTTAAACCTTAATCTTAAACAATAGAGTTGTGTGGTTTGGAGGGAAATTAGGCGTGACTTGCTGTGATGTCACAATCGTGTTGCATTGTGGTCCATGGATCTGCCTGAAGTGAACACGTTGAAGCCGAACATCTCATTAAAGCCAACCATTCACTCCCTGCGTCTGTCCAGATAATCGTCCCTCGCCCACTTGACCAAGTTGAAATTGGCGTTGGCAATTGTGTGTGTGGGGAAGTGTCTATGGGTGCACTGGGAGACCAAAATGGTTCTTCTAAAACATGGCATCCCTTGAATGGTGTAGAGCTAGTAAGAACAGCTCCGCTGAATTTAGACATGAGTCCAGCGTGCTGTGCCA